ACAAATGGAGTTACAGTATGAAAACACAGCTAAGATCATTGCTCATTTTCAGTCCTCTCACTTTGTGAATGGAGAACACCGAGCCTGTAAAACAGATAAGAGGGAAAGAATTTCCAGCAATCCTTTTCTCCCAAGTGCAGATGAAGCACTCTGCCTCTTAGCTGAGCAAAAAGGAATCAAAATTAGAGTTAACTGTGACAAAGATTTAGAGGGAAAGATGATTTAAGCAACTGAGTCCATTGGAAATGTGACAGAGCCAATACACATGAATAAATATTTCTACCTCTATAATTGTTAATGCGAATGCAATGCAGTGCAATTCTGTTAGGCCCTGTGCTTACAACAAGAAGATATATGCAATGAAATTTAGACATAGAATAGAACACTGCAGTTCATGCAACAATTTAGAGACATCAGAGCTTCTTCTGCATTTAGAAAAATAGAAAAAAGAGACTTGTAATGGAAAAGCATAGCCGTAATTCTGAATGATGCAAATCAGAAACAATTGTTATTATGCTGCTATAAAAACACAATGGTGGGATTTCCAGGAAACAAAAATCCATGTTTTGATTTTTCCACTTTCAGTCTCCCTTTCTGCTCTATGTGCTGCAATCTACTGAGGAAAGCGCACTGATCTAGTTCATAAACAAACCTCTCCTCTACACTTGTCATTTTCGTTTTCACTGAATACTGAGGTCAAACTCTCATTAACTTGATTTGCCACTATTTATAAGTAAACAACCACAAGAGGAATGTGCACAAATGATGACCAGTCTTCATGTCACATATTTAACAGAACAGGAGATAAATTTGACAAAAACAAACAAAAATCAACATTGCCAACAACAAAAAAATTCTTATTTGTCACTCTAAACTGATAAATCACACTGTGAGGAAGTCTATCTCACTAAATTGCTCACTTTCTACCAAAAAAAAAAGAGAGAGCCAGTTAAAGCCAGTAAAACTGAAAAGTTATTATGTGTTCTCAAAGCACAGCAAATTTTGCCATTGCATTCCTTTCATTAAAGATTTTTTTCTTGAAATATTTCAAAGCATCAAGGAAGCTGCACAGATGAGATATCTTTGTGCATTTAGGAGAGAACAAATGGAAAAACGTGTTGAATATGTTAAGAGACAGCTATGTTTTTTGTTGATTTTGTCTTATTTTGTTCTTTATTTACCTACCAAAACCACAAAATTATAAAACTAAATGTGGAATGCATATAGTTTGATTAAATGAAGTGAAATCTCATCTTGACGAAAAGTAGAAGAATGCAGTAGAAAAATGTGTAAATGTGATATCCAGTCACCCTGTACATTAATGCTATATTTTAATTTGGATTTCAAACAAATTCCGGTTTTGTTTTAATTTTGTTAATTGTATCTTTGTATCATTAGCTTTTTCCTATGGTTGCAGAATAGAAAACTTCTCACACAGATGAAAGTGTTACAGCTCCCTTCGTAGGGCCTTTTTTCTGTAATTATTTGAATGAGTTGCTTTATGGTAGAAGACTAATCAGAAGTGACAAATATTATTGTTCCTCCAATATACCATGGATCATAAAATCATAAAGTGTTGAAAAGAATGCAAAATTTCCTTTATACTAAAATAAATATGATTTTTAATAGCAAAATGCACATCTACCTTTATGTGCATTAAATATACTTTTACTAACTAAACCTATTTTTAGGTTACAGAGGGCTCAGAAAGAGACAAAATCAACATGGAGAGATAAAAGATTCAGCGCATCAAGACATTATTTCTGCTATATTACTATGCTTCTTTTGCTTCTTTATCCTTTGCTTGAGCACTGTAACTAACATAAAGACGTGGAACAGTAAATAATTAGATTCCCAGACAGTTTAAATAACATTTACCACAGAAACTTTTAAGTAGATGCTTCCATGTGAGCCTTCTATGGCATGAAGAGATAATGTAGACAATGTGGTGACTGTACAGGACTCAGTGTAACTTGGGATTACAAGCTGCTTTTTACCATTCATACCTGATCATATAGTAGCCCAGTTTTGACTACTTAGTGTTATCTGATTAATCTTAGAAGATTTTGGAATTAAAATTAATATTTTCTTTATTCACAGACAAATTGCACTGTTGCCCAACACTTTGCACCACACAGTGCATAATATATTTTGTAACCCTCTCATTCTTATCCTCCCCTCTCCTGAGGCCAAATAAACAACTTAGTCTGCAGTGGAATATTGAAGCATCCTCCCTTATCAACCTGCATCTCCATATATCTGAGGTTGTCTTATTGTCTGCCTAGTAACTTCTTCCTCTCTTCCAATCTACGAATTAAAAATATTGAGGTCATACAGACAGCTACATAGTGAATGATTGTTGATTCTTTTTAACTTGTTTCCATCATGCCATGGTACCAAAACATTAACCAACAATTTAACTGCAGTTCATGTGTAAATAATCATGGCAGTAATTCACTGAATACCACTTAGTGGACACAGTCATGCTTCAGTGACTGAACAAAGGTGCACAAAACTTCAGCAATGACAACTGCAGGGTTTGCTTTCTTTTTTTATAAGTTAAGAGGATTGTTTTCACTGCAAGCATTATCTTTGGTCAAATCAGAATAAATTAGCACATAGAGGCATGGGATTAATTCACGTTCATGCTCAGTGTTCATGAATCCCAGCTTTTAAAAACAATATAAGGAAATGAAAACTATACAGCAGTTTTGAAACAAAGTCATTTGTATATTTCAGACATTTTAATATAGACACCAAAATAGATCTTTCTACTGCCTTTGGACTGGGCACTGAAAGCAATACTTAAGTGAACAGTTACAGGTATTAAAAATAAGACTGAGGATTTACACATAAGAAAATAACAATTGGTTTTGTGAGTCATACTACATTTCTTCCAACTTTTCATTTAAAAATGAAATTTACATGTATATTCATGCTTGCAAAACTCCAATTTGATCTTGGCCAACTGGCTACATTTTTCATTCTCTGTTTCCCTGTGTCTGACTATCACATGGGTGTCCTTACATTTCTGTAACAAGACATACATGCTACTTTTGAGTACCATTAACAAAGCGTCCAAACTATATACAATTCAGTCTCAGTATTGAATTAAAGAAAAAAAAGAAAAAGTACGTTATGAAGGACTACAACCTTCTTTTTTCCAGAACATTCTGCTAGGCTTCTTCTTTTATTCTGTCTTTTCATGCTTCTGAACTCAAGATTCCTGAATGAAACTCAAGATACAAGCTACAGAAGCAGTGTAGATATTTCCATTTTTATTCTATTGAAGCTAGCTCTTGATAGCTTTCTTGCTTTTAGTTTGATAATAAAAGAATATTTTAATCACTGCCTCAAAAGCAAATCTGATAGCATGCATTTCATATGGATAATCTGTGTTGTATTGGAACATGATGAATGTAGTAGGATGTTCCTCATGAGAATGGCCTTCATAATTTGACCTTACTCCATCAAAGAGACATCAAAGAGACACTGGATGTCTATATGGATGCTATACACTACAGAAAATAGCTGCATAAAATAGATAATAGAAAATTGTTAATTAACTTTATTTCATACATCAGATTTAAAACAATACTAAGTTCATGCAGTGATTTTTCACTCTTGAGCTGGAAAGATGTAATGTTAACAAGTATGCTTAACAGTGAGGTAGTTAAAACTAATTGGAATTCCTTTAGCTAACATTACGCAGAATTTTAATAAATGTAACAGTACAAGGGGATGAGAGTATATTTAGACTAGATGTTAGGAAGAAATTATTTATTGCGAGAAGAGTGAGATACTGAAACAGATGGCCCAGTGAGGTTGTGGGTACTCCCCTCTGGAAGTATTCAAGGCCAGGCCACATAGGGTTTTGAGCAGCCTGGTCTTGTGGGAGGTGTCCTTGCCTATAGCAGGGAATTAGAACTAGTTGATCTTCAATATCCCTTCCAACCCAACAAGTTATACGATTTCATAACTCTATGATGTGACTGAGAAGATAATTCTAAGAAAGATCAGTTTGTTCTGTGGATTAACCTGTGCCAAATCCTTATTTGAATGTACTACATCTTCACGGGCATAAATACCTGTCATGATTTTATGATTTTTATCAGTATTCCACATCATAACATCATGTAGTGCACTGGGAGCTTAACTGTTCATGCTCCAGTTCTGGGTACCTGTCCAAAAGAGAAGAAAAACTACATACCCCGGGGGACTTTGCAGTCAGAGAGGAGATAGAATTCCTGGCAAGGTCACCTGATGCGCTCTTCTTCATTGGCTCTTCTTCATCTCCCTGCTGCTCAACCAGACTGCGCATCTCACCTCAGTGTTATGGTGAGGCCTTTCCACTTGTTGGACATTCTCTCTCTCATTATATTTGATTTATTAGCTACAATTCTAATATTGTATTATACTGTGTTATTTTGCATTCCAATACTATATTTAGTAAATTTGTTTATCCTCATATCGTTGCCTCTGTTTTTAATTATTTTGGGGTCCCCTGTTTCTCTTTTCCAGAGGTGTGGATTTTGTGAAATCCCTCCACCCCGCTAGTCACAGAACCAGCCAGTAAACCATTGACAATATCATAGTTAAGATATTGATTGTGGATGCAGCTGTACACAAGAAGTGAACCTGTACATTTAAGCTGTATATATAAGACATTCAGATATTTATGTTCAAGAGCACTACAGAAAAAAACAATAATAGTTTATTGCTAGCTATTCAGTGCCCCAGAGGGTGATTTACTAGTAAGATTCTACTTCTTTAGTGTCCTTCACCACATAAGTTCATATAGTAAGAATAACAAAGTCATAATGCAGATCAAATAAAAGAAGAGTTACACGCAATCCCCTTGCACAACAAAAATGAACCAGCTCTATAACAGTATAATTGTACTACGGAATGTCACTCATTCACTGGAATCTGTTTCCTGCTTCCAGCTTTCTGATCTTTTCATTCACTCACACTCACTTACAGAACCACAGAATCATAAAATGGCATGTGTTGGAAGTGATCATATGTGAGAATCCTTCTTTGATTTTTGATAATGGTAAAGTTGTTAAACAAAGTGCCCATGGTATATGGAAAATAGCCCACGTTCCTGTTCAAACATGGAAAAGCCTTGACTTTGATTTCTCTTCCTGGCTTCCAGGTGGCACATGGGTCAAACGTCTCCTATTTTATCTACTGTGTATTGTTGCAACTCTTCTGTTTGTTCCTTGTATGATTCCATGTTTGATTCAACTTATACAACGTGTTGTATCCTCCATGTGCTTTGCAAACACTTCAACTGATGATGGACAAGTCCAACATTTATAACCAAACCCAAGAAATGTTTTGTAGTAATTGTGTAACTATTATCTATCCTTCTCACCTTCCTCTTTCCCTCTTGCTTGTTTGCTATTTTCATTTTCTTCCTTTTCTTTTCCTCACCACCATGGAGGGTCAGTTATGCTTTATTTCAAGCAATCTTTGAGCCACGGGTTGGTGTGAGAATCCTTCTTTGTTTTTTGGCTCAAATCTTGCTTCCTGAGCTTTTTCTTGTGATAAGACTCTGAGTGATTTGTCAAGGAGGCAAGTGATGGGTGCTAACCGTGAGACAATTGATATCGCTTTGGGAACATTTGAAAGCTCCTCCCTCCAGAGCTGCTTGCTCTATAGAAAAGCAGAAGAGAGTGCTCAGGAGTGTTCACTGGCGGAAGCCTCACTGGTGGAGACCAGATTCTGCTAACAGAAAAGGAGACAGAAGGTTATTGGGGACCAGGAGTATTTTTAACTACCGGTAACAATTGTGCTCCCTGGTCATTAACACAAAGGGCTGCCTATTGGGCAGGTGGTCTCAACCCTTTAGAAAGGGGAGACCCTCTTGCCGTTATTGGAACAACTGATCAATTAGTAGAGAGTGTTCAATAGGCTGCTTGTCTCCAAATGATGTATGATAGAAAGCTGCAGCTACACCATGAGTCACCTATGATGATGCCTGTTGATTCTGAGAGAATGACTGCTTTAATTAGGGGGCTTCCAGAGTCGTTAAAACCTATAGGTATTCAACTGCAAGGAAAAATAGAGGCTGTGTCTCAGGGAGAGAGAACCCGGCCAGTGTTAGAAGGAACTGTAACCCCCAACCATCTGCAGTCAGGAAACAAAGTATGGACGTGGGGGGAGGTTGCCCAAGTGTTAATTAACTATGGAAGAAAATATGGGCCAGTGATTTCTTCCTCCACTAAATTTGATCCAAGTGAAGTAAGACTTGCAGCAGTCAGCCTTGCCCCCAGGCCACCAAAGCTCAATGGGACTGGAAGTGTCTCATTGTCAGTAAAAACAGGTAGGAGAAATATTGATCATAAACATAATTGTCTCTGGTTACTGTGCTGGCACAATGGCGTTCCACGAGATCTGATGAATGGATTACCCACTGTCAGGTTAGTTAACTGGTGGCCAGAACAAAAGCTCCAGAATCTTGAGGAAAGCAAAAGCCCAGGTCCTAGGGTCTCTCCCAGGGAACTTGAATGGCTATCCAAGCCATTAGAAAACTGATGTCTTCGCCCCTCCCAAGTGAGCGGGGTGGGGGCAGTAAAGTGTGGATGCATTAGAAAACTCACAACAAAAGGAAACAAGATCCTCCATTTGACACCTTCTGTCCAAAGGCCTCACCACTCTTGCCAGTTATCCCTGTGAGTCAGGATCCAGTGGCTGATAAGCCAGGGAAACACTCTTACCTCCCTAGCCAGACTGTGTCGATTGACTCAGCTTACCTGAGGCTGGTTTCCCTAACCTTAACAGGATCCCTTAACAAATATGCTTGGAAGGCTAAAGACATCCCGAAAAAGGAATATGAAATCAACACTTGCTGGATTGTTCCCTCATTTTTTAACCATATTAACAAAGCCCAAAACGGGCAAGTCGGTGTCTTGTTTTATTTCACAGAAGATCCCTATGGGACCTTGACAGAACACAAAAAGGCTAATAGCTGATTTTAACAATTTATATTTTGTGACAGAACTACTGAAGATTTGATCATGCTAAAACACTGAATGTACCTCTTGATTACATTTTTTGGTTGCAATAGTGTTATGTTTTGTGTTGTTATGGATCTGGGTGGTGATTGATATCAGTCCTTGGATCTGTTAAACTTCACAACTGGGTTCAGGGTTTTTTACAGGTTTTTTTTTACAGGTTTTTACATCCTGGCTTACTGGTACTCCCTGCACAGTGATACCATTTCTTTCAACCCCTTCTTCCACCCCTTTTTTACCAAACTGATTATGATTTGCATGTAACTCCTCCACCGTGTTTCCAAATTCCTAACAAACCGGAAAATGAATCAAGGGACCCATCTAATATCTGTTAGATGTGGTCACAAAAGAAATCTATCAGAAAGCCTTTTGCACTGATGCGTTTCAGTGTCACACCAGTCCAGGAGTTCCATCCAAAACATGGTTGTTGGAAAGTGCGTAAGTTTTAATAAGAGATGTGTATGTTTCTTGGATTACCCTCTTTGATGGTTTGCACTGTGGGGGTATCCTGCACGCACTATCCTGTGAAAAGTTCTGTGGACTGTAACAATACTTGAACTTGCCAAACTAATATTTATATATCTCAGCATTTGAAATGCTTTGGAAATGCTCAAGTGCAAAGTTTTCAAGACACTAAATCATCTTAGAAAACATAACATAGTGTCATGGCTTTGTGATTTTTGGCTTTCGGTATTCCACATCATAACATCATGTGGGGCACTGGGACTTTAACTGTCAGTGCTCAAGTCCTGGGTACCTGCCCTGAAGAAAAGAAGAACTACATTCCCCAGGGGACCTTGAGGTCAGGGAGAGGAGGTTTAACTCCTGGCAAGGTCACCTGATGTGATTTTTCTCCCCTGCCCTTCTTCGTGGGTGCTGCTCCCGTCTCCCTGCTGCTCAACTGGACTGCGCATCTCACCTCAGCGTTGTGGTGAGGCCTATCCACATTTCGGACATTCTCTCTCTCATTATATTTGCTTTAATAGTTTCAATTCTGATTATATTGTATCATAGTGTGTTATCTTGCATTCCGATACTATATTTAGTAAATTAGTTTGTTTCTCCTCAGATCGGTGCCACTGTTTTTAATTATTTTGGGGTCCCCTGCTTCCTTTTTTTCCGGAGATGCAGATCTGCAGATCCCTCCGCCCCGCTCGTCACGGAACTGGGCCGAACCAGCCCATAAACCGTTGATACATAGCAAGTCCATATATTGTCAAATTATACTAGATACACTTTTAGTGAATTAACTGAAGTGTAATATTGTATGGCTATTCATAAACACCACAACCTCTACTGAAGAATTCCCATCTGGATCCTGGCTTACACTGGGAGTTCCTGGGTGGGGAAAGCAACTGACACAAATACCTTTACTTATTTGTTTATTTCTTTACTTATTTGTTTATTATTATTGGTTATTGTTAAATGTATGGTCATTGCCAAATGTATGGTTGTCTCATGTCATCATGTAATATTCGTGTCACCGCTCCTGAGGTATCACCAAGTGGTGTCTGTGGCAAATTGAATGATTCTAATTGTTCTCTAAAGATTGATGATAATGGTAAAGTTGTTAAAGGAATTGCCCCTGGTATATGGAAAATAGCCATAGAGATTCCCTAGTTTCAGGACACCAGTATGAGTGGTAATACTTTCCTCTAGATCAATTTGACCAAAATCTCAGCCAACCTGGTCTGGAACACTTAGTTCCACACCTTAGAGCCACACCTTAGTCTGTCATTACAGCCCTCAATAAATAGCCCCTTCTCAGGTTTCTTATAGGCTCACCTTAGATACTGAAGGGCCTCTACAAGATTATCTTCTCCCATATGTAGAGCTTCTCCTTCCATGTGCCCATGCTCTTGCATGTACTCTTAGGCAACTATCCACCATACACTGATCTTCATTTTGCTGCTTAAAACAGCCATTTTCCTTCGGTTTCAACTTATGACTGAAAATATTCCTTCTCTTTGTCTCCCTAATTTTTATTTTTCTGCTCTTAACAGCTTTGTAGTCTAAATATGTCTTTCTCAAATTGGGTTAAACAAAATCATATCCTACGTAAGTTATCAGTAATAGCAAGCATAATTTCATTAATGCCTTCCTATCTGTACAGGAAATACCTCTTCTACTGTATATTAACATCATCTATACTGACTGCCGAAGGATCAGCTTTTTCATTTTGATTGCTTTCCTGTCCTCCATTTCCAGCTAATGAATCCCTTTCTTTCCTTTGGAGCAGAAGCAAGCTAAGTACTAAATATGTGGTTTTATTCATTGCCCCATTGCATTTAGTTCCACTTCTATTACTTGAGTTCTCAGGAGTATTCAGTTTCCTCCATTAGATATTCTGCCATTTCTCCTTATTGAAATGCCTGCTCATTTTGTGCCATTAGAAAACTCTAATAGCATGCTCTTACTCTTTGATTATGATGCTGAAATATTAGTCACTTTATTTATAAAGTCAAAGAAGAATCAAGGAATTCCAATATATTTAAGGAGAAATTTTAGGAATGTGATGAGTTCTTATGGAAATCTCATCTGCAGATCCAAAGCTTCACTGTAGCCAAAGGTTCCCTTTTTCTTTTACAGAATGCTTGCCTAAGGACTGTATCAAAATGTGACAGGTATGTTTTTTTATTTCTCCACTTCGTTTATTGACTTTTTCAAAGATAGTTATTGCTAGTATTGGTAACAATAAATACCTTCAAAATTCTAGTTGTTTATTTAATATTGACCATGTTACACATAGAGAACAGCAAATAGATTCATGCAGGGTAAAAACACGGTATTTTTGTGCCATCAGTTGGCATACTCTCGTTTATGCTTTCTTAGGATTTGATTTTTCAGGTCTTGCTCAGATTAATCGTTATTCATATGGTTTGATAATGTTGACTCCCTTTGTTGAGCTCTTACACACTTGAGTAATCCTATGGCAAAATGAATACACAGCAAGCTCATGACATGGTAAATATAGTGGAGAAATAAATATATATATATATATTATTAATCCTGAATCTGTGCTAGTCTTGGCATTTGATTATAATGGTTAAGCAGCTTTTATGGGGGACAGAGGGCCTCCTGTTTTGTATGATTTTCATTTTTTAAAGGAGATATTATTTTTCGTTTAATATGCTGTGGATAAGTGAGAATATGAACAGGGTTCATAAGGCAGCTAGCATTATCATAACATATGAATTCAAATAATGTTTAGATAATGTTTAGGGCTCAGTGCAAAGACTGGGTAGTCTACGTATTATTTCTAATAGATCTCAGATACGATCCTAATGAATGAATGATCCTATTAAATTTTCAGTCACATCTATACCCTGTAAAGAACCATTTATTTCACAGTTTTTCAGCGTGTCGGCAATGATTAAGACACAAATAGTGCATCTGATAGTTAGCTTTCTTTTCTCCCTTTGGCTTCTCAGAATTGTGTAGTTTTTTTGTCATTATTGTCTATTACACTTAGAATGATTAAATGAACCAAAGGGATGCCACTACCATTTCTTCCTGTGCTCTAACAGTGTGCCATAAAGAACAGGACTGAAGGAAGAGCATTTGTAAATGGCCATTCAAAAGAAAAGGTAAAATTGAATTAATGTGAGAAGAGCCTTAAAAAAGAAAACCCCTGAAGTCTATTTCATTTAGATGGAAAAATTATGAGAATTTAAATACTATGTAGAAAGAAGAGATTTCAACAATATTTGGAAGAAAATTCGACCAAGAAAACTGAAAATATAGTATGCCCATTGATCTAATAATGGCAGCATGAAGTCAAGAAGTCACTGCATGCTTCAGCTTTTTCAAAAAAATCCACTCTGTGTTCATGTTGTAAATTTTTCTATCAACTGATAACAAATACAAATGCCTGAATTGTGCATTTCTTTGTTATCTTCAGGAATGCTCACTCACAGATTGCGTAAATAAGGGACAAAGCAACGAGTGTTTTCCCAGTGATGAAAAATTGACTGACTACAAATAAAAACAAGACACATTGAATTTTCAGATTGTTTTATGAGCATTAACTCAACAATTTTGCTGTCAATAAAATCTGAAAAATAATTCTGTTCTCCTTCCCAATCTGCATTCACTAAATAATGAGATCTTCCTGTAGGAATCAAAGCTCAAAATGATTACTTAAACTCTTTAGAATGTATCTATGGATTTATTCATATTTCCTTGATAATTCAGTGCTAAACTTACTCCAGTGTTATAAAGCTGTGTACCAAAATTCTGGAGTAATTAGGAAATATTCATGCTGTACTGAATTCACAGGAATCTCAATTGTTTCTGCAGGAATGGGTAAAGAATGGAGCCTTAGAGAGCCTGCAGATGACATTAAGCTGAGTGGCATAGCTGACATGATAGAAGGAAGGAATGCCATCCAGAGTGATCTGGACAGGCTTGTGAAACAGGTCCATATTAACCTCATGAAGGTCAGCATGTCCAAATTCAACTTGCTTAATGTGGGTCATGTCAATCTCAAACATCCATACCAGAATAGGAAATTAACACATCAAGAGCAGACTTGTAGAGAATGACCTAGGTGTAGCAGTGGATGAAAAGCTGAGTATGTGACAGGGATGCATTCCTGCATCCCAGAAAACAAGTGGTATCCTGAGCTATATAAAAAATATGGCCAGAAAGTCAAAGGACATGATTATCCCCCTCTACTCTGCTGTCATAAAATTCTATCTGGAGAATTATGTTCAGATTTGGCACCCAAGCAGAAGACACATGTGGGCCTGCTAAAGTGGGTTGAGAGGAAGGCTACAAAAATAATGAGAGGGCTGGAATACCTTGCCTACAAAGAGAAGCTGAGAGTGGTGGTTTTTAGCTTAGAAAAGAGGAGGCTTCAGTCAGATCTTACTGAAGACTTTCAGTGCTTAGTGGTGGCTTATAAGAAATATGGAGGGAGACTTTTTACAAAGGTGTTCAGTGTTGAGGCAAGGTATAACAGTTTTAATTGAAATTGAATAGATTTAGATTAGATTTTAAGAGAAAACTGCTTATTCTGAGAATGATGAGGCACTGCAACAAACTGCCCAGGAAAGTTGAGGGTGACCCTTTTCTTGAAGTGTGCAGATAGATGTGATGAGAGATGTCCCTGACAGTGGTGGTGAGGTTGTTCTAAATGAC